AAAATACCTTGAGTTCTATACAAAGAACATATAAGTTAACTATTGGAGTTAAATTGTGCCGATAGTTCTATACGCTCGCCCAAAACAATAGTAACAATATGTTCCATCAGGGGATCCTTTCCCATCGTCATGGTTTATTTCTACTGACTTAAGGTAATATATAGACGTTTTATTTTCATTCTTATTAATTCCAATTCCATTTCGAGAACAGGGTTCAAGGTTGGTTCTTTCACCAACAAACTTCACAACAGCAAATTCTTGGGGACCACTGACTGCTTTACGATCGTCAAGATTATTTGGTTGATCGACATGGTTCATACCCGTATCATGTTCAATTTCGGCTGATTTTTTATGATATTTGATTGCTTTTCCATTACCCCTTTTGGGTTCGATATCTGGTTGGAACTTTTCTTCATGCGGCGGGTTTTTGTTATCAGGATTGTCGTGCTCCTTCTTGTCAAAATCTTCCAATAGGATAACCATAGACACCTCAACTTCTTCCACCTTCTTTTTAACTTGGGTTGCTATATTGTAAGGCTTCGCCTTGAAACTACGAATAGTTTCCCAGGGGTTATAGTATAAGTCTTCCATGTCTATAAAGGTTAACTTATTCTTGTGGGTTAAATAAGCGATTTGGTTTGGTTTTATAATTTGGGGTTAGGTAAGTTCAATCTCAGTCACCACCAAATGTGGAAGAGGAAAATGATCCAGTTCTGGATAACACAACTAACACTACTAAAACTAACTAAATTCCTCTAATCAGAACACTACAACTAATAAAACCAAACCCCTAGTATTGGTAAGGCAACGATCGAGGCGTGGAAAGACTTGGTCTGAGTAACTAGGGTTATTTGGGTTGGTAGCGATAGTGTTGGATTAGAGCTCTTGATTACGTCACGATCTTCTTATTCAAAATCACGGAATTTGGTCACGAATTCTTTTCATAACTACGGGATTTCACTTATCGGGAGGGGGGGGAATTAGTAGAACAAACGCTTCTACTTAAAGAGTTTATTATTCTCAAGTTAAATACTCTAATTTCTTTAACTTGAAACTTCGAACTCAAACGAGTTTTACACTATTAGGGTGA